ATGCCATAATTTTTTTTAGTTATCAAATTTTCCTTTTTTTGAGAGAAGTCTCTCAATAATTTGAGAAGAATCTTTGATATAAAGAGATACACATTTGTAGAACGAAGTAAGTGTTTTCCAAACATTTTATATGTTCATCCTGTATAACAATATAAAGCTGCATAGTGCCATCTTGTGCGTTTGCTATTTTATGTACTTTTCATTGAGATAATCCCTCTTCTCGGGTGATTTTAACAGTCAACTCAATTTTAAAATAAAGATTTCATCAAAATGATTTCGAAATTCGGATATTGATTATATAAATAGCACTGTTAACATATTTTGGATGAGTAAAAAATACCTTGTTTTGTATGCATTTAGTACACCTTTATTTTTGATTAAAACTATAAAATTTTTATTCCTTATATAATAAATAGTATATGTTACATAAACATGAAATTCAATAGCATTCAATTTTGGATTTTTTAGATTTGGTAAATTTTAGAAGAAATAAAATCAGCAATCAAAATAAAGAAACTTTTTTTGTATCTTCTATGATTACCTTTTGGTACTAAATTTTGCATTAATAAGTAAATTATCTGTATTATTCTGTGAGCACAAGCCCTCAGTTATGCTGGTAGTGAATGATGAATCGTCATTTTGCGAAGAGAACGCGATTATTAAGGTAATTTTGAGAATTGTCTTGAATTATTTAAAATTAAAGTTAATTGAATAGGTAGGATAACTAGCCTTTGCTAAATTTGTATAATTTGACCTTATTCTAGTTGGATCTGAGAATATTTTGCTGAAATAATAAATTATATCGCCGATTTATGAAAATTTCTCTGATGGGACCGACTCGCTGAAACGTATTAGTGTTAATGGTAACTTGTCTGAATTTTCAAATTTTTTTCGAAATCCAAAAAATCACAAACAAAAGCATCAAAATTAGATTTGCATTTAAGGTTTTCGTTTTTTTTTTGGAAAATAAAAATATTTTTCCCCAATAAAGTTTATTTTTACTTTTGAGAGGAATAGAAACGTTATTTTGGAATTTTGAAACGACAGAAATGTTCCATTTTTAATGTAGATTCTAAAATGGGGTCAAATTTTTGATTGAACCGTTATCCATTGAAAAACCTCGATTTTAAAATGTTATTCCAAAATATTCATCTAATGATATAGTATATATTTATTAATTATTACTTTTTATTCAATTTTCACTTTTGGCGGGATTTCATTTTTTTGTTGTTGTATGGGCCATATTGTTCACCCAAAACGGAAAACAAAGGCAATGCATAACATTTTACTCCACGAACGTCGTCGACTCTCAGCGCGACAGATGCTTGGTGCTTGCATAATGACCGGAATGCCATATACAAAAGGTGCTCGCTTTCTTTCTCTTTGTGGAACTAAGCCCCCTGTGAAGAGTGGTGTCATGAGACAACAGAGATTTTGTGACGATAAGATTAGAAGACTTAAAAGTATTTCCCTAATGCTGTCGAGAAAGTCCTTCAGTGGTTACTTATCCATTGATGCAAGATGGACGCACAGGCGAAACTCGCCAAGTTGTACAGTAACTGCGCTCGATGCTGTCACAAAAAGAGTTCTTGCATGCGTGAACATCAACCATATTGGTGGAAACAGACAGCATGCTCAGTATTCCGGAGCTTCCAACAATATGGAAAGTGCTGGAACTCGAATCATCTTGAAGCAATTAAAGAAATACAATATCTTGAAAGATGTTAAAGAGATTATTAAAGACCGAGATAACAAAAGTGTCTCTGTCTTTAAAGAATTTGGCGTCTCTCATCTTGAAAGATTCGATCCAGGTCATGTATCAAAAAATATCTCAAAAGATTTTACAAAGTTCTCAGCTTCTCATAAGACAGTTGAAGTTTTCAACGACAAGACTCAGAAGATTGAAAAAATAGAGAGACCTTTCTGGGGTCTGAATGCAAGCCTAAGTATGTGGCTTTGGTCATGTTTTGCCGAAGAAAATATTGACAAACGTACGAAAATGTGGGAGAATTGTGTCTACCATTACGTAGGCAATCATTCTTTTTGCGAACCGCACAATTACAAATGCTTTGAATGGCAAAAAGGTGTCAATTCGATCCAACTTCAATTCATGCTCTATGACTGGGTTCACAAATGGACACCCATAGTTTCCAAAGTTTCTTCCATTGGATCTACCTGCATGAATGAAGCGTTTAACTCCAAAATTGCATGCTATTTGGACAAATCAAGAGCCTGGAAGAACATTAACATTAGAGTTAACGTTGCAATCTTAGAATGGAATGATCCAGAGCATTTTCTCGGAGATATACAAAAAGCATTACATCTTCCCCACTTCCAGAAGATTGTGTCAAATCATTTGAAGAGAATTGTTACTCCAAAATGATATTGAAACAAAAAACTGTTACAAAAGGTTCTAAAAAACAGAACAAATACAAAAAATCCATTCAGAGTGTACCAGGAGGAGATTATCAAGTTTTCAAGTCCGAATGGGAATCAGAAGACGAAGACATTGATGACTTTGATTAACGAAAATTACATTTTATTTATTGTTTTTGTTTTTAATTAAATTATTATTATGCTCATTTTCTTATTTTGATTTTTTCTCATTATGATATAAATAATTTATTAATGCATTTATCCAATAATTATGCTATGATATTTTTATGCCTTATTTCATTTCTCTTATATTTGATAATCTGGTAAAATATAGTTCAAACTATAATCATTTTAGATTATTGATATATTTATATAGGTTAGAATAAAATTAGTTTCATTTTCTACTTTTATTTTGAATTAATAATTTATAATATCAAATATTATGGCGTAACCTCTCCTTTAAAATATAGATATATATAGGCCTATAGAGTTTATTGGCACTCTCAAAACTCTAGAATTTTGAGTTTACTATACCCTTAAAAATTGCAACCGAAAATGGTCAAAAGTAAGTCACGAAAATATGAAATTTAGATAGCTAATTTGATTTAATTAAAGACGACGAAAAAAATATTTTTAGTCTTATATATAAAGTACTCACAAAATCTAGATTGAGAGGCGGTCAATGACTTTTGAGGGGAAATTAACGCATGGAATTTAATATTATTTAGGTTAATATTCTTGCTTATTATTTCAGAAAAAAATCTTAAAAATTTCAATATGAAAATTGAAAGCAATTCAAAAAAATTGCTAACATGTAAATTTTAATATCCTATGCATAATTTCATATTTTGAACATTTTTTATTTTTGTTTAAAACTTAAAATTTTGCGAATTTAATATAATTTATAAAATATAATACGTATATATATTTAAAATACACTAAATTTAATTGTTAATTGACGTTTTTGGGAATGAATTTTATCAAAACATGCCTGAATCCGAAAATTTGAAAGAACGAATTACACAATCATATATGTAGAATTCAAAATACAAACTTAAAGATTGTATACGTTTAAAATTATTCAGATTGTGTTTGATTTCCACTCATTCTGTTTCTTTTGAACTCTAACACTAACATTTCATGATGATTACATGATCCATTTATACATGGTTGAATTGTTCCAGATTCTACCAGAAAATCAATCCAAATTTCTCAATGCATTCATGTTGATTGGACAAAATTTAAAATTTATCAGCCTGTTTCCAGAGAAACTCATATATTCCCTAATGAAATGTAATTTTTGCTACATTTATTTCAATCAAATTTCAAAAAATTGACTGCAGAGCTTGAAAAGGTGATGAATCATGTTGTTATTAGATGTACATATTAGATTTACTATTTCCAAAAAAATGCTCAAATTTGAATAGTTTTTAGAAAATTTGGAATTACACTCCTTACATTATATATAATTAAATGTTTAAATTTTATTTATTTTTCCCTTTTAATTTTATAACGTGCTCTATCAAAACTAACCTCTCAATTGAAGGCCACAAAATCTAAGTAGTGAGGGTACACAAATTTTGTATGGAGTACGGTTCAATTTTTGAGAGCCTCACTACTTAGATTTTGTGACTACCTTAGAACATTATATATGGTATTGAATGCGGTTTATAAAGGAAAATGGCCAAAAGGGAAAGAAAATTCAATATCTTTTATCAAGTACGATATGAACAAAGTAAAAAAGCAAATTTTCAGCGGAAAATATGAAAATTGTACAACAGTCATTGAAGTTGCACAGCAGTTCTCGGAGCATTCAATTACAGAAATCTTTCCTAAGCTTCAAGATTATTTTGGAGATTCTCCATATTATGTTAATTTAATCCCCCTACACAAGATATTATGAATGGAAAAGTTCATATACGTGACCAAGATGATAAAACAAAATAAAAACCATGTATTTATTGGAATAAATTTTTAAGGGTAAACTTACTGTAAAAAAGTTTTAAACAACAGATACGTCAATTCGTGGATTATTAAATAGAATGATTTGTTAGTACTGGAGATATCTTGCAGAAATTCAACGACGATATCCATGATGAAATCAGAGAACCTCAAAAAAAGCCAATGCAGCTTAAAAAAAGACAGAAGATATGATTGTCGCCTACGGAGCGCCAGAAACACCTATCAGGCTTATCTCATGCTGAACATGACTATATTTAGATTTGAAATAAATTCAAAAAATGATGAAGCATTTAAATTTGCATAGAAAGCATCCAACGAAGGAATTGCTTCGGTTGACTCCTTGAATGACGAGCAATATGTGGATTCAATTGTTTAGTTGCAGATGCTTCACAGAACTATTATTTCATGGCAGCAAAATAAGTATAATATTTGTTTATTTCTATATTTAGCAAAATGTTTTGAATTAGCTTTGCAATTCTATCAAAGATTTTATGTATATATATATATACCAATCGTAAAACATGATAGCTAAATATCATTTCATTGATGTCATAAATTCTATAATGAAAACGAGCGAGCTTAGTGCGATGATAAAAATGAGTTTATATAAAAATTATATTAATATATCTTTATAAAATCTCTACATTTGGGTCAAATGCAGGTCACTTTTTCTTTGGAGTAATCTTTTCCTTTTCTGGATAGATTTTTGCTAAAACACATAAATCATCACGATCAAAGCAATTCAAAGCTCCATCATCATGAAATACCTTTTGATACCAATTGTAAACAGACTCAAGATTTTCATCAACAAAGTCTTGACTGAACTTTTCCAGCAATGTTTTCTTCCCTGAAAACAAATTGACACCTAAACCAAGCTTATCTCCTTTTATTTTAACTCCTGCAGCAGCTAAAATTGTTGGGAACATATCGAAGTGAGTGAAAACTCTTCCAGTGTTATTCGCTCGCTTCAATTCAGAGTTAATGAATACATTAAAGATTCTTCTTGGATAGTTGTTTTTCTGAGCAAGTTCTTGTACACTTGTGTCTCTTCTTACATGATCTCCATGAAGAACAATTAAAGTATCATTGTACCATGGTTTTGTCTTCATCCAGTCAAGTAAATCTTTAATTTGATTGCTCAAACAGTTGAAAAGTCTCTGTAATTTTGTTCCATTCGGAGGACACAATTTACATATGTAACCAGGTTCATGTGTGTCTATAGATGTGATATATAATAAAAATGGCTTTTTCGGATTTTCTTTGTAAATCTTGTCAATTAAATCTTTTTGGTACTTGAAAAGTACATGATCCGGTACAAACCACCTTTTATTGGCTAAATTAACACTACTGTGGCAGTGATCAAAGCCATGATGCTTGAAAACAAATCCGATACTCCAATCTTCATCAAAAGTACCGTAAATTGCATGTGTATCATATCCATTCTTCTTTAAAACATCACCAAGACATTGGGCTTGTGTATAATAGAATGTGCTTGTGTTATCTCCTTTGTTTTGAGCTCGATCTCCTTGCCATTTGAAAGGAAAGCCGCATTGGACAGCAAAGTTAGCGCTTACTGTGAACCTGTTGCGATATAATTGCAAAGTACCACCAAGCTTATCTGGTTCAGTGTGGTTTGAGAAATGAACGTTATTTGTATCTAAAGCCAAGCTTTCTATATAAGGTGAGTAACTAGTTTCCATTAGGCCTCCATGTTCTTGTGATATGAAGCTAGATTCAAACGATTCTAAACTAATAAAAATTACGTTTTTCTTTTTTTCGGGGAAAACTAGGTTTTGCGGATTAGGGAAAACATAGTTATGATTGTAAAAGTTCAAACTAGAAGAACCTGTAGTTTTTATTGTAGAATAAAATGCAACCACGACAAAGAAAATATTTATTATTGATAGCATACGATAATCTAGATTTATGTTAATGTTAATATATCTGATATATAGAGTACTTCTAGAATATTTGATAAATGCGTAAAATATGTAAAGGGATGGTAATAATGCTGGCAAAAAGTAATTTGTTGAAAATGAATAAATGAATTCTGTTTTACCTGCATATTCTCGCTGAATTATAAGTTCCTTCAATTCATCAAAATAAATAGAACCTGATAATTGATAAATATTTTTAATGAAGCCTATTGCTAATGAAGATAAAATGCAAACTGCAAAGGATTCGAACATATTGAGATAGTAAATTCGCAAGCATTCTTTAGACATTACAGTGTAAGAAGGTTTCTTGATTTGGAAAAATTTAACAGAGAAAATCAGCAGTATTAATGGGATTGAAAAAATTGTTGGAGACTTTTTAATTGCACTAGTTAAAGTTCCTGTTATTAAAAAAATTAAAACCCAATAGCAAAATATTACAATTTGAAAAGCGTTCTTAATGGCGTTGATAGTTTGAGTTTTATGTCTAAGCCTTGAACATTCAAAGATGAATATCCATATTGCTAGGTAATAAAGAATGATGAAAAAATACGAATTCATTCTGTTCCTTAAGGGTGTCCAAAAGACCAAACTTCTCCTATCGTTGTTATTTTATGATGCAAAATCACCCCAGATATCTTATATATCGGATTTTAATTTTGTACAAACACCTACTGTAAATATTGGGGTTTTAGAAAATCAACTTTTTAATGAAACAATAAGAATTACCGAAAAAGTGACAAAACATCAAAAACAGGGAGGGGTCTCAATTTTTATTACTTATATTATTTTACAATATTTATATAAATACTCTTTATAATATATTTTACTATAAAATTATACCTCAAATTCAAATATTTAAAATATTATTTACATAATTATCTCAAAATTATATTTTTATATATTATTTTTCATATGTATAAATCATATAATCTATATCTATGCAAATCTCATCTAAATTTTTTTGAAACAAACCGCTACCATTTTATAATGGTCCATCTTAAATTCATCATAAATTCTGGTACATGTTAGTACCAGAGTCTTCAAATCTCAAACACTCTGGTACCAACATGTACCAGACGCGAGTTTCCAATGCCCTCGTACGATTTTCTATTAAGATCTTCTTGAATGAGAAGGTCTTCATAGAAACTCGTACGAGGGCTTCTCTTTTAAATACTCTGGTACCTGCTGGTATCGGAGTCGACTTTACAGCCCTTTCCCCAATTTTGAAGCTGGGGAAAGTTTTCAAGCAATGAAAGGGAAGCTCTCGCTATGAGGTGAAAATCTAGAATTTTTACCTCATAGCGAGTAATCCTTTGTTAATTGCTTGAAAACTTTCTTCAAATTATCAAAATTTCGAGGAAAGTTTCCTTGCTTCAAAGTAGAGATGGAGCCCTTTGAGCCACTGCATATAGGTCAGTGACTCAAAATACTCCATCTCTACTAGAAATCGCCAAAATTTGTGTCGCAATCTTTGAAATGCGACGCAAGTTTGGGCAATTTCGCGAGGGACTTGCTCCATTTGGTGCATAGATTCACACTCTATGCACCAGATGGAACAATTCTTTCGCTGACAGCGGGAAACTTTGTCTGAATGTTAAACTATTCAGACAAAGTTTCCCGCTGTCAGAGAGGGAATGGAAGGGTAAGAGGTATATATTCATAATGTATACCTCTTACTCTTCCATTCCCTCAAGAAAGTTCAAAAACTTGGGTGCAATCAGAACTGATTGCACCCAAGTTTTTGAACTTTATATAAGGAATTGTTGGCTATGATGTACTGATCATGAATCAGTACATCATAGCCAACAATTCCTTCGCAAACAGTGGGAAACTTTGTCTGAATAGTTTAACATTCAGACAAAATTCCCCGCTGTCAGGGAGGGAATTAGAGGGTGGGAGATATATAGATAGACTATAAATCTCTCACCCTTTAATTCCCTCAAGAAAGTTCAAAAACTTGGGTGCAATCAGAACTGATTGCACCCAAGTTTTTGAATTTTGTATAAGGAATTGTTGGCTATGATGTGGATAGCCGCTGCCAGACCAAAAGAATTAACCGTTGTGAATAACGTTTCTGAATCTTTATTTAAAAAGATAAAATATCACGATTTTGGCTGCGTTAAAAATCAAAGAATTGATGTTTTTGTCAAAAATCTTTTAGAAGAAGTTGCACCCAATTACTTTTATCGTATTAAAAACGATTTACTTCAAACAGGTTTTATTCCTTCAATTAGAATTCGCGAGCCTCGATTGACAGATTATAAAACAAAATTGAAAAGAGAAGTTCAATCACGTTTATACTAAGTATTAAATTTTGTTCAGAATCAAGAAGCCAATTTGAATCCATTAAGATTTTTATTGGAAAATGCTGAAGAAAAACTTTCTCAAATAAATGAGAAGATACAAAATTCAATTACATATTTAAGATCGTTTGAAATTCCAAATGAATTGTTAGATACGTATATGTTAGAAATTAATGAATTTTGTTATAATTCTCCAGATTATATTTTAGAACATTTCGAAGAATTTTTAGAGGATTTCAAAGAAAAGAATAATTTAATAGACTAAAAAATTTATTATTTTTATTTATTGTGAATTTTAAATTGTCACTTTTTAAGTGTTACTCCCTATTGAAAGTGTCACTTTTTGGGTGTCACTTTTTCGGAAATTCTTATATACTCAGATATCTTATATATCGGATTTTAATTTTGTACAAACACCTACTGTAAATATTGGGGTTTTAGAAAATCAACTTTTTAATTATTAACAGTAGGTGTTAATCCGAATAAACTATAATTTAGAATATGGCACTTTTTTGGAATTGGAATAACCAAGTTTATCCATATTGCCGATATAGGGTCGAAAAGTGACAATATTGGAATAATTGAATTAGAATAGGGTTTGCTAGTAAATTAGGAATTTGAATTTGGGATTTTGATTTAGAAGGGGCCTAAAAAAGGTAGTGGGGCTTCCAGGCGCGTTGCGCCCTCTAGCCCATAAGAAATTTTGCCCAAAACCCAAGAGGAGGACCGAACCCCAGCCGACCAGCCGGTGACAAAACCAAAACCGTTGTTATTTACATCATATTAATGGTGTCACTTTTTAAAATGTCACTTTTTATGTCGCTTTTCACAAATTATATATGTTTTCATGTTTTGTCACTTTTCTGTCACTTTTCGGGTAAAAACATTTTTTATTATATATAATATGAATTTTACAAAACCACCGTTACCGTTCTTTGGAAATAAGAGTAGATGTAAAGATATTATATTGAGAGAACTTAAGAAACTACCGAATGGTCTAACATTTATAGATTTGTTCGGTGGAAGTTTCTATATATCCCATTTATGTCATACAATATTCCCAGACTCAAAGATTATATGCAATGACTTCGACAACTATATGGACCGTCTCAAACATATTCCAGACACAAACAATATATTGAAAGAGTTAAAAGAAAAGATACCTATAGGTAAGATGGAACGTATACCATTAGATAAGAAAAATATTGTGAGAGAGGTTTTGAAAAAAGCAGAATATATAGACTGGGATAGTATATCTGCTAGATTATTATATAGTGGTGCTATAAGAGTTCATGACATTGAAACACTTATGTCAAAAGTTTTATATCTTAACTATACAAATGTTTTCAAAGAGAACATAGAAAAATATATTGAGGGTATAGAGTTTGTGAGATGTCATTGGACAGAGTTGTATGAAAAATATAAAGACAATGAAAATGTTTTCTTTATAGTGGACCCGCCGTTCTATAACACATGGGATTTTCAATACCAAGTAGACTGGACTTTGAGAGACTCTTTAGAAACTTTAGACGTTATACATAACCATCCATGCTTTTACTTTACATCCGATAAAAGTGGTTTGGAAACCGTTATGAGATGGTTAGAGGACATACATGACTATGAGTTTAGATATGACAAGATAGAATATGAGAGAGGTCCTATAAACCGGAGAAAGTGTCACAATAAAGAATTTTTATTAGTAAGTAAATGTGGTTTGAAATCGGATTGTTAGTTTTAGGTTTTTTCCATTGTGTCATTTATTTATTTGACGTGGCAGAAAAGTACAGAGAATATGAAGATGAACCAATGCCTGTAAATGTTCAGTATATGTACTCGTAAGAGATATTTTTATCTAATATTAAATGGACGCACAGAACTTAGCGAATGCACAGCAACCTGGACAACCAAACCCAGAGAATATTCCAAATGAAGTTAGAATACAAACTGCAATGGCAAACTATGGTCAAGTGCCAACAGATGTACAAATGCAAACTGCCATGTCAAATGACGCTGCGTTAGGTTTGCCACCATGGTATGCAAATATGAGATGGAAAGAGTTTTATACAAACCCTGAAGTGGGATATAAACAACTTTATGCAGATGACGCGAACACAGGAGTTGACCCAGAATATGTTTTCTACCAGAGGAGAAACAGAATGTATGAGCTGCAGTTAAAGAATGCTATGGAACTCAACAGGAAACGTAAGAGACTAGGCGGACATTAGATTTTTACTACTAGTAAAATGGGTTTCTTCAGTAGTATTGGAAACTTCTTCAGAAGAGTTGGAAGAGGTATATGGAATGGCGTCAAAACCGTAGGAAAAGGAATTTGGAACGGAGTCAAAAATATTGGTAAAAGAGTAGGTCAGTTTGTTGGTATTATACCTAAAGACCCTGAACCAGAAGAACAAGCTCCTGTTATACAACAGCCTGAACCTGCACCACAGTCTAGTTGGCAACCAAATCCAACACCTCAACCGTATTAAAAAATTATATTTTTACCGTTCGATAGTAGTTGTATATGAAACTAAGTTCTAAGTAAAACGCATGGTATAATGGAATTATTCTTTTTCTTCCATCTGTAGTAAACCATACTTGAAAGTCTGAAATACTTCCACTCGGCGGTTCATATAACTTTGTAGGTTTTTCGTAAAAGTCATTCATCAGACATAAGAAAGAGTTTTGCGCACCAGAAAATGAAGCATGAACAATAATAGCATCTTGGTCGAAAATATTTTCATATGTTCCATTAGGGTTTTCGACTTCATAATAGTCCGGGTGTACTGGATATGCTGCAGGCTGATTTAACATCCTCATAAATCTATACCATGCCAAGTTGTTATATTTTGTAGAAATATAAACGTTTTCTCCAAGGTCTTCTATTTTATTGATTTTAACAGTTGCATTTTTCCTGTCATAAATAATATCGAGATGGTATTCTCCTTCGTC